GTCGAACGACTGGAACACGATGTACGGCGCCACGTACGAGAATAAACTTCTCCTCAACGGTGTCTTGTCTTTCTTTTCGCCATTCGCAGCGGACAGCCGTTCCAGGGTCAGAACACGCTGATCGATGTCGATATACGGGGATATATCCTCGTCTTCGTCCTCATTCTGGCTCTCCAGGTCATCGATACTGTACTCGACGCTCGCGATCTCGTGATGGTGATTGTACGCTATTACGTCCATCCTGGACAGTCTGTAACATCTGTGATGAAACATGTTTGGCTTTAGTTCGACGGATACGTGGTTTGGATTGTGCGTCTCGCGAAATTTCACCGAATTAACCATCATTTTCTCACTTTCGTGGTAGCGCGTCATTTTCGCAGCCTATCCAACCTACAAACGTCGTGTAGCTATAGTGGGATCGAGATATATCGACGGTGTATACGTCATACGAGCGAAGATCGACAACTTCTGGTTAAATTTCCGCCGTGGATCGGATGTTACAAACTTACGTTGTACTTTTTTTCATCTTCGAACAACGAATTTCAAACGACTGGGTGTACCGTTATTACTGATAAATTCATTTTACAAGCATATTTTTAATCAGTCAACTTAGAAATCAACGTGGATCCCGTAGATTGTGTTAAACGTAAGATGGGATAATTTGCGTTTCGAATTGTTTATATTATTGTAAGGAAGATAGAAATATTAGAAAACTATTCTTGAGAAAAATATTTCCTGTATGTGTATTTTTCGGTAATCATTTAATTATATTTTAAATATCATTTAAAAATCATTAATTCAAACGATTAATCGTGCCAAGGAAATTAAAAGAAATTGAAAAAAAATTTTCTTCCATATACATACACCATCTTTATCTTTTCTTGGCATCATCAGAAGAGTAGAAACATTCTCGCGAATAATCAAAAAGAAAAATTAATGGAAGATTAAGAATTAAAAAAAAAAAAAAAAGAAACAGATAGAATAACGGATGCACAAATTCATGATACGAATTTAACGAGACAGATAATGACAGGATGGAGGCTCCGTGTCGTAACACGTGAACCAATTCACCGAGAGAATAATTTTTTCGTGGAATACAAGCCGAGCTTGGAAATCGTGTTCGATTTTCACACGATACGTAAAATATATATACGTGAATATATATTTGCCAAGATTAATAAACGATCCTTTTTCATTGAAGAGACATATCGTTATGATTCTCCTTGAACGATGGCCGCTCGTAGAAATCGATGTTTATCGATGCATTTCTGGCCCATATTTAAATACGGCTGTCTTAATGAACCGTATTCCGTGTAGATCTTATCTCGTGGAATAATCGTTTAATAATCCTTTAAATAAGATCCTTTCATGCACGCGACTGTTTAACCAAATTTTTATACATAATATACGTAACCTGTGTCTTTCCACGTACCTATTCAAATTATGTAAAAGGCAGCTGTCAGCATCATGCAAACGGAGTTCCAACTATCTGCAACAGAAATTAAATTATATATTCGTCGATTTCGTTCGATCGATTGCTTACTTTATATTTCTACTGCAAAATCTGTCGTTTGAAATTTTAATGATTCAATTCAATCGATCTTTTTTCTTTCTAAAATGCTAAATTTACGAAGCATTTCTAGATTCTAGATTTCTAAATTCGAATCTACACCGAAAGTTTCAGAATAAATGAAATCAATTAATTTAAAGTGGTTCCTAATCACTTGTTATCAGAAGAGGATACGAAATCCACATTTTTAATCGAATAATTTTTTAATCTTTTCTTATAGATACAACATATCTGACGAGCATTATTACGTGTGAATCAGAATAATTATTATTCGAAGTAGAAATCTATTTTCACGTTCTTTATAATAAACTTGTTATATATATTTTGAAGGAATTTTCTCTATAAATATCTACACATAGTGCACACGATATTTATAAATCTTTGAATACAACAAGTTTGGAACAAGCTTGTAAGTTTGAACCACGTTTATTTGGAATAGATTCACTTGTTTAAACAATCGAATGCCATATTCCCTTCATAAATTCAAATTTATCTTTCGATCAACACTGCAACCGCAATTCAGTATCGCACATTCTTCTATCCAAAATTAAATCAGACAACCATCAACAAACTCACTTTCATTTTATCCCTCGAATCCGATGAACGATTCATTCCTCAACGAAATTCAACAACGACGTTCTGCGTTGCCCGAACCAAGCCCAATTACGTAAAAGGAGGCGGAACACTCGCGGGAAAGCTCGAGGGAAAAGGAGGCGCGAGAAAAAAGTGCGAAAGCGTCTCCCCTCCACGGCGGTTATTAATGGACAAACGTTCGACGATTGCCTGCGAATTCGACACGCAATCATTCGTGCCGCGATCATTCGAAAAAAAACATCTGCCCTCCTCCTTGTTTATTATGGTTTTTAATCGGCCGCCATTCGGCCCGATACGTAATTAATGGCGCTGTGGATCGCGGCGTCGAAAGTGAATCCGGAACCTCGGCGTGTGTAATTGAGATAAGAGGGGAGGGGGAAGGAAGCGTCGAAACGGCGGGAAAATTGATTCGAATTGCTCTTAATACGTGTTTTGCTACACGCTGCGACTTTTAGAAAGGGGGTTATTCGTACACTTCGTATTTTAGGCACGTTAAGGACGATTAACCGTGGAGGGTTGTAATTAGACTGTAATTGCGCAAATTTATATATATTTCTTCTTCTTTGTGAAAATATGTATTTATATCATCAGGTATTTTTCGGGGTTAATGTTTTTCCGTAATGGGAAAGATTTCGTAAGTGAGAGAGGTGATAGAATTAGCTTGATCTTTGCTAAACGAAATTTTGCTAATTACTTCAATTTTCTTGGGAATAAGAATGATCGAAATGATTGACGAGATACTTGTGAGAGATTTAAGGCAAATGATAAATTAATTATTGATTATAATTATTTAAACGCATCTCTGTTAAGCGAATTCGAGCAGCCAGAGATTTTCCATTTACATTTCAAATAAAAAAAAAAACAAATTTGTTACACGAACAGACTTCATCTCTTAAATTAAAGAAAATTATGATAAAATGACAATAATCTTTTGAAAATATTTGTATATAATTATTTTTTTTTCTTATAAGAACAAATTAATTCTTTTTACTATTTCTAAACAAACAAATAAATAAAAAACTACACAACAATATAAAAACTGTCTCTGTGTAAAAACAAGATATGTAATTTATGCACACAAGATGCATGGTAAGAAGCCAAGAAAACAAAATATTAATTCGAAGACTGTTACAAACAATATAATTTACAATTTTCCACGATTTCGATCTCGCAATTGAGGAAGAATGTCCCAAATTACCCTCGTTAATAATACGGGGTTTAAAATCAACTCTTTCGCGCATTTAATCATTGTCGCGCATTCTCACAACGGGAAAGAAGAGATCAAAGACGATTTGTAACGATGTTCCAAAAAACGCGAAACTCTCTTTCCGAGAGCCGAGAATTTATCTCCCGTCGATGGCCAACCTTTTTTGGATGAGAAGAATCGGGCCTCCCCCCTCCTTTTCCTGCAAATTACAGGATCGGGAAATTATAGGACACCCTATATAGCAAGTTGCGAAACGTTTTTCAGGCAGAGAGGATTGATGGGCCCACGTGTCGTGAAAGTAGCGAATCAGTGATCCATCGAAATTAGGTTATCACGCGAATCGTGTATTTTTTTTTTTCTCCGAGTTTAATAATTGCCGAAATTGATTTAACATGGATCCAGAACACGAAAGATACACGGTAATACGTAATACCGTTAAAAATTTATCTTAAATGATTCCTTTTCTTGACAGGATGTACAATTTTAATTACGGTTAAAAATGTAACGTAATGATTTATGTTAAGGGTTCTTGGTAGTTGGTAGAGATATATATACAATATATGTTGGTATTATGTTGCGATCTGTATGTTATAATAATTTTAATATCTCGATGTTATAAACGTGATTGTATCGGTTGTTGATAGTTAGGATATATACAGGTTGGATGAGATTGAAACGATTATTGGTAATATTTATAATATTTATATATATATATATATATATATATATTAAAATTTGAATCTCCAAATTTATTTCTTCTTCATTATTTTTTTTTTTTGGTTGGAGGAACATCATAAATTGACAAGGGTTGTTTTCTTGCGAACGCTTAAATAATTAATAATAGACAATAATTCCATGAAAGTGGTTTAATTTCTGTGTGTCCCTTTTCCTTTAAAGCATCATGCTTAATATGGAAATCGATATTTCATGTGCCTTTTCTTCGAAATTATAAATTAAAACGGTGTTTCTTTAAGCTCAAGCTTTCGCTGAAATTTGTCAAGGACTTGATAACCGTGATTTAAATTTACAAATTATTCCATTAAGTTTTCGCTGGTCTTCTTCATATGTTTTCTTCAAATTTTTACACGATAATTGAATAAATTCTTCAAAATTCATCTTAATCTCAAAGAATCACAATGAATAAAAATTTAGAAATTTATTGTCCTATTTATTTATTTTTTATTTAGTTTATTAACTCTTTTGATAAAAAAAAAATCGATCATCTTCTGATTATTTAATATATCAAAATAGAAATATATGTTTCATAATTAAATCAGATATTAATTTTATTTCAACAATTACATGCAATTACTTTTTAACTATTTGAAATTAAATTTGTCGAGTGAGATTTTCTCCAAAGAGATGATAAAGTATATATTTTTTAAATATACCTATATCTTTTTAAAATATTTTATTCAAAGCAGTTATTATCAACTATTAATTATCTCTACTTTACTTATTGTTTTATTCTTATACTAATAAATTTTTAGTATCATTTTTAAAAATAATATTTTTACAATGGATCTAAAAATATTAATTTCATATAACTAATTTGAATATTATTGAATTACAATAAAATAAATGATAAGGATGAAGGTTAGGAGTGATTATGATAAACCAGAATGATTATGATTGAAACAATGTATGTTTATTAATTTCTGCATGACGTGTAATCGGTTTTAAACAGAAACATCGTGTATTTTATTATGTAACTAAAAAAAAAAAAAAAAAAAAAAAGAAATTGCCTCTTAAACATAACAAATTATAATCTATAATAATAATAATAATAATATTAATAATAATAATAATAATAATAATAATAATAATAATAATCATCCCTCTACTTTACGAGAATATAGTTTATCTCAGGTACAAAAATCAAGCCCTATCACAGACGTATCACTTAAAGCTTCATCACCTATTTACAGTACAATGAAAGAAGGAAAAACGGAGAAAGAGAGAGAGAGAGCGAAAGAGAAATATAGCATCTCGAAAAACAGTGGTCCCAATTACGATTAATTACTTAACAAAAAACGATTATATCAATCTACAATTATCGATCGAACACCTCGAACGAGGTTCAACAATTTTCAACGTATGGAAGACAAATGATTCGTCGTTTTTTTCGCTCCTGCCACGCACAGCGAAACTTCTCCACCAGGGGAGGAGAACGGAAGTTCAGAATGGTTGCTTGTCAAAGTCTTCAAAAATTATCGAACTTCATCCCATTCAGCCCATCACCAAGGCCTCCAAACAGCGTTCGACGATTCCATGGACTCCCCGGACGAGCTTGCCACACTGACAGGACTTTGCGGGGGCGTGTAAACGTTCTGTGGCACGTTGATCGTCACGTTGGTGGTTGGGCTGACGGCTGGCGTCGCTTTGCCGACAGTGTTCACAGTGGTTGATGCTACGCTGGAGGTGGTTGTGGTCGTGGTGGTGGTGGAGGCTCCAAGGCTCGAGGAAGAAGTTCCTTCGAGTCTTCGAAGGCAACCACCGAGGTGTCTCATCAATTGCGCACCGGCAGCAGGGTGCACGGCGGCCGCGACAGGGGTGGACAGGAACGAGGACACTTCCTGCGCGCACTGGGTGAACCCTTCCCTGAATCTGTCCGCGTAGCTGTTCTCCGGCGTCAGGGTGAGCCTTCTTGCAGCCCTGAGCGTGTGAAGGTGGCGGACAGTGAGCTCGAGAATGTCAGCCTTCTCCAACTTGGCCACGTTCTCCCCCTCGGCCTGGAGCGCGGTCACCATCAGATCCTTCAGCTCGTCCAGGCAACGATTGATCCTGGCCCGCCTCTTCCTTTCCAGCATCGGCTTCATCACCTTTCTGTACTGGTAAGTCCTCGATACCGGCTCCTCGTACTCCATACCACTGACAGGCGTGTAGCTGGTATGCGGTGCCATCGTTTATCAGTCAATTCTCCTCACTTTCCACTTGTCACAAACAAAGCCCGTGGAAGGAACGTATTCGAGAAATGTTCCAATGTTCAGAATGATATCTAATAACGATTATATGATGATGATGATGATGATGATAACTCAAAGACGCGTTGAATATGCGTTGCAAGATAATATATATGTATATATATGTATATATGACGTGTGCGTTCTCGGAGTGCCGAGACCAGAGCACGCTACCGTGTTCACGTCGATTCTGAGTGGCTGGTGGGGACCGAGTGGCTACTTATACTCTCGATCGCTTCCCCCCACCAACTGTCCCACCCGCTGCCCCTTCCATGCCAGTGCTAGGGGACTGGTGGCGGGCAGAGAGGGGTGTCGGGCAGGGGAGACGGAAGGGGAGGAAACGCACGAGTGAACCCTGCAGCACAGCAGCCGGAGCGTATCGTGGGAAGCTCGCGGGCCGAACAGTTCCCACAGATCTGGGGGCCTGTTGGGCCCGGCACAGGTTCCCTCCACGCGTCACTGTGTGTGCCCGGCACACGGTCGTCCCTAGATATTTGTGTGTGTGTGTGTGTGTGTGTGTGTGTGCACGGTCGAGTGGCGCAGGGGGGCCCCTTCGTTGGTGTCGGAGAAGGCGCAGGAGAGGACCTTTTCGTGCACACCTGCACGCACTCTCGAGGGGAGGGATGGAAGGGGGTTCCTCTGTCCTCGCCTCCGCTTCTCTCCTACTACTACTGTTTTACCCCTGCGCTACACCCGTGGCCCCTGGCCCATCGTGTCAAAAGCGGGTGCAGGGGAGTCAAGATCAGGGGAAAAAAGAAGCGGCGAGCACACGCCATGACGCGCGACCAGCACGAGGACGACCCGCGCGATCCGCTCAACCGATCCGAACCGATCTCTCTCCTCCTCCTTCTTCTTCTTCTTCTTCTTCTTCTTGGCTCTCTTCGCTGCTTCTCTCGTTCGCCGCTTTTGTTCGAGCCTATGCTCGAGGCGAGTCGAAGCCGAGAACGATATTGTTTTGCTGATTCTATCATACGCGCGCGAACGATCTTTTTTTGGAACGTGATTGGGGTGAAATTATATTTTAAATAATGATTTAGAAACAAATGAAATGACTGTTCAAAGTGAATAGTATAGATATTGAGAAATCTTTTTTATAAAGATCGAAATAATAATAGCAAATAATGGATCATTGAATTTATTTTTCGTACGAAATATAGGTATAATAAAGATAATTTTGAGGGGTTAAGTATAATTGTAAAATTGCGGAAACAATATTTTTCCTGTCAGGAAATATTGCTTTTTTTGTATAATACCAAAATGAATGTTATTTCTTCTGCACTTTTCTAAAGATTCTTATACGTGTTTCATTCGTTATATGCATATCACAGAATAAGAGAAACTTGCGAAATGTTTTTTCCTCTTCGCTTTTGAATCAGATGAGGTAAACAGTGTGTATATATAAAACTATAGGAATCGTGCACCTGAATCTGTGCAAATCGTAAACATCGCGTCGATCATTTTTTAAACATTTTGTTTCCTTTTGACATTTTTATCGACAGAGAAGCGATGGATTATTTACCATTCGAGTAATAGATATATCGTTCGACTCGAGGATGATCAATAAGTTGACAGGGAAGTTTCTTTTAATAAATTAATATCCCGTAATAATCGTCACTGATCGAGAAGAAGAGAAATGTTGGCCAACGTTTTTTGACTTTCACGAAAACACTTTCGCCGGAGGAGATTAATTAAAAAAATTTTCATATCTTTGCCACGCATCGATCAACGAATAATCCATTTTCTTTGACAGCAATTCCATGTGATAATTAACTCGTCAAGTAACATCGGGACGAAGAAATATTACGATCCAATATTTGAAACATATATTCATTTTTATTAATTTAAGCATTCATAATACATAATATTCGAAGGAAGAGGCGGATTCTATCATTTTTGGACTCTCAAAATTAATTTCTCGTTACTTGTATCAGTATTTATATACAAATTTTGTACGTAAACACCCTTTATAAAACGAATATTACTAAAATTCGTGTTATTCGCGAATTTCAAACAAATTTATTATTATTTTCAATTCCAGAAAAAATAATCCAATAATTCCAAAATAAAAGCAATTATGCAATTATGATGCAATACACATCTATCCTACGTACATAAACTAGATGATAAAATAGATATTTTCGAATATTTAGATAGATATTATTTCGAGCACGAATCAATCTCGACACATCGTTCCAAATCGAGGATCCTCGTTTTTCGAATCACGCAACAACAAAAGGATTTAACGAGGCAAAGAAGAGGGGAGAGGGAAACTTCTCACACAACCTTTTATTCGCTCAGAATCGCCTAACCTAACCTGCCAACGTTACACTCTCCCCACACGACCCATCACAGATCACCATTCCCGTCATCGTGGACGACGTAGACGTGCGTGAAACGCGGTGCAATAGCACGCGGCACTTGTCGGCACGCTAGGCACTCCCATCGACATCGAATTTTCGATAAGAAACGAGTTCTCCCCGAGGGACGGTTCGTTTTCTTTTTTCCTTTTTTGCGCCTGCTAAGCGGATGATGGTCCGCTCGCTTTGACCGGTTTATCGGAATCCAACCGGCTCGTTGCGTCGCTAGAGAGGAGCCCACGACACTTGTTGATTCACTGGAATACCACCGACAAGGAGCACGTGTCGCCACCACTCTTGAGCGCCCGCCGCCTCCGCTGAATCACGACTTGGCGAACTGGTCGAGCGTTTGCTGGACTAGTTTTCTAATCCTCCTCGATGTAGAACAATTGAAACAGATCGATCTTTCGATTTGAAGCGGCCTAAATATTTGCCGCGTGATAGCCTCGAGCTTTGTGGTATTTCGATCAATCGGAAGGTTGTCTTTTGGAGGAGTTAGGTTTAACACGGAAAGTATGTGGGATGAAATATTCGACATTCGTACTTCGAATTTTTGTAGTGGGTGTAGTAGTAGAATAATTGAAATAATATTATTTCTTCGAATTTACTTAGCTGAATGAAATATTTGACACGAGGTATTTTGAGCTTTCGTGCAATCGATGAGTCAGTTAATCTAAAAGAAGATCAGATTGGATTTGCTCATACACCCTAGCTTCTTTCTTTGGTAATACCTAAGTCTTGTCTTTATTCGTAGAAATTATCGCTGAATAATTGGCAAATATAATTACTCGAATATCCTATCGCACAAATTTTGTAATATCTCGAGTAACGATGAATTGATTCAAATAATTAATATCTGATCTATCTATCGAAAATTCTCGATAAAGGAAAGAAACGAATTTACTTTTGTGATTTATAATTCCAATTCCAATTATTCCTTTTGCCGCTCATCGGAAGACCAGTTCGACGTTAGAAAAGGGTTCGAGCAACCGGTTTCCAGATTGCTGAGATCGGACTCGGCAGTCGATTTTTCGAATTAAGCGTGCGATCTTAATGACCAACAGCCCGTCCCTGGCGCAGGCCGCTTGGACAGGTTTCGCTTGCGGGACATAACGAGGTGTTTAGCCCTTTTAGAAAGGCCAAACACGAGTGGGCTGGCCGAGTATTTATAAAGTTTTCCCTCTAAAACCCGATCGAAAACTATGATTTTGTTATCATTTTGTGAATTTCTCTCTCGGTTTTGAATAATAAATGGTTGTTGAAGAACAAATACATTTTATCAGTTTTGAATTATACGTGATATATACATAATTGAAGAAAATTTTAAGATTATGTGAGAACAAGTGATTCCTCATATATCTTATTCCCCTTAATTCAAGATTCTTCAAGATTTAAATAACGTTTACATCATTTCTTTAATTTTTTAATCTATCCTGGTTATATTAACAAGACTCAGATCCCACTTATAAATGAGACAAAGGGATTTTATGTTACGAAACTCGATTCAAGGAAACACACATAGGAACGTATTATATTTAGATCTAAATATTAGAAAAGTGGTTTTAGAAAACGGAAATTCCAAGCAAATTTCTGGTGAGATGAAGCAACAAATAAAATTAAAGAATTATCAAAATACTTTTGTAAGTAAGTATCATTATAGTAAATTATTAACAATATTACCTACATCAAATAAGATTATTCAAATATTAAAAACAATCAATTAAATAAAAATCAATTCCGTAAAAAGAAAAATAAAATTGAATCGAAATAAGAATTTCATATATAACAATAAATAACTTATACCTGGGAGAAAAATGTATAAAACTTTTCCAAAAACTCCTCATTACCTTTCGTTAATGCTTTCCTTAATGGACTCTCACTCACAAAATCAAAAAAAAAAAAAAAAAGAAAAGAAAGAAAGAAACAAAACAATAAAAAAAATATATATATGCAACCGAAAGAAAAATATATGTAATTTCTTACAACAAATAGCAAAAACAAGACACGTATCACTTCATATATTCTGACACTTTGACAAATAATAATAAGAGAAACACACACCTAAGTCTAAGTGGCTCTATCTCGCACTCTATTATCTATGACACGCGGCGTGTTCGATACAATTGTGCCGGACTCGGCACAATATATTTTCGCGTTCGTTTTGGCATTGTGCCGGAATTCTCGGTTACGCTGAAATAATTTCGTCAGCCGCGGTACCGATGTGTCATCTATTTTATTATTAATGCGCCCCCATCAATGGCCGGATCACCGTTCTTAAATTTAATTTTAAATCGTACGAGATCCTTCTCAATTTGGCGATAGCGGATTATATTATATGCTTTTATTAATCGAGGGTCGATGATTCATTTGATATTTTTAAATAACACACGCCGCAATGTGAAACAATAGCTTGTATAATATCTCTTTATATTATCGACCCATGTGTTTTAACGAGACACAAAACGATTGATTAAGAATAGTTAAATTCATTTATTTTTTTTTTTTTATTTGAATAATTTGTAGCAATTACTAATTGTTCGGATTAAAAGTAAATATCGATTAATGCTTGCAAATAATTTATCTTCACACAATTCCTCCTTACTTCCCTATTATTGTTCCTTTTAACGACATCAAGCACCACGACGACATATAAATATTTCGTTATCCAAAAATCATCTGTCATATTTATCATTAGACTTAAAAAATTTCATCTCCTTCGCATACGTATCTTCAACGATAGCACGAAATCCTTCCAATGGAACTACAGTTACGTCAATTTGCACAACGAGTGCCGGGCTATAGGATCGCGAAACAGGTGCACGTGTCATCATTAATTTCCTCGTGACAGAACGATCCCGTTGAGGAGAGAGAGAGAGAGAGAGAGAGATAAAGGGAAAAAGAAGAGGTACTAACCTTTCAAAGGCTTTAAACGTTTCCATCGCGATGAAACGTGATTTCTTTTCTTTTCTTTTTTTTTTTTTTTTCTCCCCAGACCGATTGATATAATGTTTCCAACGTTGAGGACGAGGCATTAGCATGAATGCAGGCACACCAGTAAAAAGAGAGAGATACCGGTAGGATAATTACACTG